TGCCGGGGGGGCGCTCCAGCCGCGAAGCGGCCCCTTGCCCCCCCCGCCTCCAGCCAGGGGGGGTCCTCAGACACCAGCAGCGACCCGCTGCCGCAGGTCGGGAACCGCGCCACGCCCTCCTCCCTCAGAAGCTGCCCCTCCAGCAGCCTCGGCAACGTCTGCCGCCGCCTCTGGCCGCGCGACTCCGTCATGAAGTCCCGCAGCCGCGCCTTGTACCCCTTCGACGTCTCGCCGTCTTTCCTCGGGCAGACAACCCTCGCCGCCTTGAAGTTCCGCGGCGCCTGCAAGCTTCCAGCGGGCAGCATCTCTGTGGTATTGTCGAGCTGCGCGACTCGCTGATGAGGCGGTCTCTCACCTTCCTTCGCGCTGCCCTTCGGCGCCCTCGGGCGGGCGGGCGCGCGATTGCCAGGCAGCCGCGCTGTCGCGGGGGGTGCCCCCCGCCTGGCCTGCAGGAGGAGGCGCCAGCAGCGGGCGCGCCTTCTCCCGGCCTCCACTTCAACCCTGAGGCTTGCGAAGCCGGCTGCTGAGCTCCTCCAGCTTCAATTCGCCGAGCTCGATGCTGCGGATCACCTCCTCCTCCTCCTCGTTGCGCAGCGTGGTGGGCTCGTCCTTGGCGGGGATCAACTCGAGCCACTTCGCCGCGCCCCAGTGCCCGTCGCCGACTGCCACCTGCGCCGCCTTCAGCCGCTGGGTCAGGATGTCCAGCGCCTGAAGAATCCTGCCCTGGAGAAGAGAATCGATCGACTCGGCCAGCGTCCGCATCTCGCGGCACGCAGCCACCCCGATCTGCTGCACTGGGTTCTGCGGCAGGTAGATCGTGAGCGAGTACCTCAGCACAAGCGCCGACGTCGGGTCCACCGCCGCGTCGCCCTCGACGGCGCCGAGGAACTCTGCCATCTGCACCAGCGTGAGCTCTGACAACCTGCCTGGCTAATCCTGCGCCATCTTCCTGCAATGAGCCCGCTTGGTCGCAAGTCCCCCCGTGGCTGCGGCCCCGTCGGCTGCGCTGAGGGGGTCCGAGGCGGCGCCAGCGCCCGAGCTGCCAGCAGCCTGCGTGGCCGAGCTCTTGAGCACCGCCATGAGCATCGTCGCCAGCTCCTTCACGCCTTCGCCCGCAGCTCCCTCGCTGGTCACAGCCGCAGCAGCTGGCGACCTTCGCCATCCGCTCCGCGAGCACCTCGGCGAGGCCACGCTTCTACGGTTTGCCCTCGCTCGGCGCGCCCTCTGCACTGCCTAGAGGTGCGCCAACCGCAGCGGCCCCAGGCGCTGCCGAGGCGAACCGGTCCCGCGCCGCAGCGAGCCTGGCCCGCAGCTCGTCCCGCGTGGGCTCCAGGTTGAGCGGGAGGCCTGCAGCCCGCGCGGACAGGGCACGGTCGCCGAGCAGCCCATCGAGGGGAGCGCTGTGGCCCACGACCGTGCGCTCGGCTGCACGTGGCCCTGCCGCCCCAGGTGTCGGCGGCGCAGCACTCTCCTTCGTCGGGCGCGCCGACAAGCGCGAGGCGGCCAGCCGCGCCGCACGCGGCCCCAGAAGGTCTGCGAGCCAGACCGCCTCGGGGTTGCGGGGCAAACAGTTGGAGAAGACATCGGCGATGTTTTCCGCCTCCAGCCTGCGGGCGCCCACGACGTGGACGAGCTCGTCGCAGTCCGCAGGTGCCTCGACGCCGCACGGCTCGTCCGTGCAGATGTGCAGCAGGGCGCTGGGAGAAATCCCACCAGCCACGCCTGGAGACGGCAGGAGGAGGAGGAGGAGGAGGAGGGGCAGGAGGAGGAGGAGGAGGAGGAGGAGGAGGAGGAGGAAGCCGGAAGGAGGAGAGCCCGGGCAACGGAGGGAGATTGCAGACGGAGCGGAAGGAGAGAGAGAGCTGGATGCTCGCTCGGGGGACCTTCCTCTGTGCGGGCCACTCGTTCCACTCACGCGCCGGTGCTGCGTCGAGGGGCCGCATGAAGGGGACAAGCGCGTGCCACCACTCGCAAAATGGCTGCTCACAGGTGGCCTGAATGTGCCGCGGGGGACATCTACGCTCCTTACGTCGAGGAGGACATGTGTGTTCGGACGTTTGCGAGCAGGCACTTTGCGAGCAGTTAGTGGAACGCGCTCGGTGATGAAGGGGAAAGGCGGAGAAAAACAGGGCCTGCCATGCACCACTGGGGAGGTCCCGCAGATGGCCCCAGGCCGGCCAGCAGCACGGCCGTGCAATCACAGTTGCTGCAGTGCGCGCACGGTCCCGTCGTCCGCACCCGTCGCCAGAAGTGAGAAGCATCGGATGTGCAGCATCGGGTCCGATCGACGGGCATCAATCCGGGCACCTCCACGGGCTGTCAAGGGAAGCCACGGTGCCGAAGTGTTCTGTCCTCACCTGTCCTGTTGCAAACGCGCAGGGTTTAGACTCGTATACAGCGGTGGTGCTACGAAACACCGACGCTGTCACAAATGGCGGTTACCATGTAGAAGAGAAAACGACATAAACATAAACTGTTGGCGCTCCGCGCGGATTTCTTCGATCTGCGCTGGGCCCCCCCTGGCGGCGCCTCCGGCGCCGCCCATGGCAAGCTTTGCGCGCTAGGGAGGAGGGTCCAGCGTGGATCCAAGAAATCCGCGCGGAGCGCCAAAAAATCATGTTTATGCCGTTTTTCCTTCTTCTAAACCCACCAGAATTAGGGGGAAGAGAAACAAGGGGGAAGAAGTAGGGCCGAGGTTCATCGGAAAACGGGGCCGGAGATCTATGGGCGAATGTGCCGCGGTGACCTGCGCGCGCGCTCTCCAGGGATCCCATCCCAGAAGCGCCAGCGGGCAAATGGCACACGATAGAGGCCCCGGTGGCCTGGAAGCATCTGCCTGCGAAGAGAAGAACCTTTCACAATTGCACGGGACGACGTCCCGCGTGACGGGGCAAACTGAGGTACATTGCACCCTGCCCGCTGGGCCTGAGGGGGGAGGAGGCGTGAACGCGACCACGACGAGGAGACAACTCTTGTGCCCCCTTCCCCCTGGCAGATCGCTGAACACCAGGCTGAGCCGACTCTTGCAACGCAGCCAGCTGTCACTCGGCTGCCGGGCTGTTTGGCATGGAGTCCACTGCGGCGGCAGCGCAGGATCAATTGCGAAGCTCAGTAGGCGTACGAGTGAAACGACTGACACTCGTGCCACATTTAGAGAACTAGCCACGACCTCGAGCGGCCTCAGACCATCATTTTCTATGTGCGCTGCGGGGAGCCCATCCCAGAAGCACAGGCATGATATCAGCAGAGGAGGCATGTTATCACTGTCAAGCCAAAGCTCTCGGCAAGACGAGAACAACACTGTTCTACATCGCGTGCGTTGTGGAGTGTTTATTTGCTTGCTAACAATGGGGATACATAGGCTGTAATGCTACACATCATATTGCGTGCCTGCTGCTACCACGACTTCGACGACTACGACGACCTGTTGACGCGACTGCGACTCATCATGAAATCAAAGTGCTCAAGAAGCGCCATCCGCCACCATGCCTTCGGCACGCAGCGGAGTGCCCCAAGGCAGAGCGCGTACGAGTGTGAGAGCTCGCCCGGACCACGAAGTCCCCTGAATGTCCGGGTGCTCCTGGATGCTCCCAGGGGGTGGCGCGTCGGCCTCCGGGACGGTGAACCCGCCCAGCACGACCCGACGAACCTGCACGAGTCTCTCGAGAAGCACCCAACACGGTCCTCGAAAGCGCCGAGACGATCCATAAGGCCCAAGACAGCCCACGATTGACTCAAGGCGGCCCAAGAGGCCCCCAACACACCTCAGTACGTCTCAAGAAGGCTCCAAGAAACCAAGAGGGTCCCAGGGCCAACATCATTGATGTTTCATAGGTTGCTTAAACAAGAGTGTGAGCGTTCTCGCCTTTTCGGGCTTCCGATGCTCCAAGACGGCCCCCAAGAGGACACAAAGATCGCTCTAAGACGGCTCAATGGGCCCTGAAGAGGGCCCGCGAGAGCTCCAAGAGGCCCCGAAGACGGCTCAAGAGGGCCGCAAGAGGGCTCCAAGAGGGGGAACACTAACTGGCGTGTCTAGCCCTCCGCCCCAAGATGACCCCCGAGACCGCCAGCAGGAGGCTCCCGAGAGGCCCCGAAGATGCCTCCAAGAGGTCTCCGAGATGCCCCCCAGAGGCTTCCAAGAGGCCCGCAAGAGGCACGGCGGCGGAATGGGCCGAATGCCATAAGACAGTGAACGCAGAGCGCCTCTGGCAACACGGCACAGGGCGCCCCAGCCAGAAACACTTCATGTGAGAAGCGTAGCGCGGTGAGAACTGCATCGTGAAGAACCAGAGAGAGCCTCCTGCGTCGATTTGCGCGTCAGGGACCCCACCCCAGAGCGCAAGCAGGAAGGTACAGAAGACCAGGTATGATATCAACAAAGGAGCAGCACGCGTACAAGACGATACGTGAACGACGATCTAAAAAGGATCTTCCGCGAGATGACATAGCGACCTTACGCGGCGGCTTGCGCGGGCCGCCAGCGCGGCACGCCACAATGGAGACGAGGGCGCTTACGCGCGAGCTCACGCGGGCAGCCTACGCGCCAATGCCGGTGAAGGCGAACCCCTTTCCTTGCGTCGCTCATATCGAGATTGTGTGGTGTCGGGTTCCTCGCTGACCCGTTCCGTTTCGACCCTCTGCTGCTCCTCGTGCCTGATTGTCGTGCCTCGATTGGCCATGCAGCATCTGCAGCCGGGCCCGGCAGACCTCGCCGCGGCCCCGACCGACCTCCGCAGATATGGACAATGCGCAGATGCTCGCCAAGATGTGCACGGCACGGGCGGCACTGGCCACGCACTCGTCTTGCAAGGACTGAGTGCGACGGCAGGCGTAGGCTCCAACGCCCTTCCCTCCCTCCCTCCCCCCCCTCCCCCACCCCCCTCGCCGCTGACCCCGAGACCGCTGAGGAGGAGCCTTCGAGCACGCACCTCGCGAAGCCGCGCACCGCATCGCCCCCCCCCCCCCCCCCCGCGAAGACCGCACACCCAGCGCGCGGGTGC